GTTATGTGTAAAACATTTAAGGATTCCTTTCATCCACCAGGTGGGACAAATCTATTCACAGTAATCCTGACTTTAAGTGTGTATGCTTAATTTCAAACTCCTCAAGTTTACGCCCTTCTGAGCACACACACACACACACACACACACACACACACATGTACACACACATTTCTATTAACTTTACATATTTTTCTGTTCCCATGTTGATTCCTCCTGCATGTCTTGTGTTTGATCTCCTCTCTGTGTCAAAACTGCAGCACGTCAGATGTATATATAGTACGTCAGTCAATGGTAAGTGAGCTCGATATGGCCAAAACAGCTGTTAACTTCCAAAGGGTCGTCGCGTCTCTTCTTAACCTAACTTCAACAACTCTTTGCTAAAGTTTCTTCCTTTCTCATCAACTTTATCCCCTGTAGTTACCACAGCTCTGCTCATCACCCTTGTTTTGAAAATTGCTACCAGTTCACTATTCCTCAGACATCCTCTCAGTTCCTCCACACGTACATCATCTAGATCAGGGGTGGGCAACTCCAGGCCTGGAGGGCCGGTGTCCTGCAGGTTTTAGATCTCACCCTGGGTCATCACACCTGAATCACATGATTAGTTCGTTACCAGGCCTCTGGAGAACTTCAGGACATGTTGAGGAGCTAATTTAGCCATTTAAATCAGCTGTGTTGGTTCAAGGACACATCTAAAACCTGCAGGGACAGCGGTTGCCCACCCCTGATCAGACCATTTGCCTTCCACTCTTCATCTTCTTCATAGCTGCCTGCTTACTTACAATGATCCTCTGTACTTGCCGTATCTGTCCTGCTCTCGCTCTCATTTTCTTTATTGATCAGCTCATCAAACTCCTTCCATCTCAACACACTTTCTTTACTCGCAGCAGACAGCACACTGTAAGCCTTTGCCTCTCTATCTCTTATTTGATGTACATTTAGTTCTTGCTCATTCAGTCTGTTTCCAGACGATACATAAAATACTGTAGTACAGTTTTCCTCACCGCTTCATCCAGCTTCTGCCATTCAGTCCTGGATTTTACCTTCACTTACTTCCTTATCTTGATTTCCAGAGGCACCTTGGTTTTTGAGAAATCCACAGCCATCAGCCCTACCTACCCAACACTACCTCATCACCTCTGTTCCCTCGGTCTACATGTCCACTAAAGTCTGCTTCAGTCTTGAAGCTTTAGCCTCAGCCTCAACTATGTGACAGCTCACGGTCACTTCAGAAAAAATTCAGGGAGAAAAAGTGGATGTAGGAGTTTGGATAGTAAATATTTTCATTCTTGTTTGCTACAAAATGTTTGTTTTTACTCATACTTCTAATTAAAATTATGTGAAGTTATGTACAAAAACAGTTATTTATTTTTTTGTTGAGTTCGATCAGATATTCACCTTCACATGTGAAGCATGCTAATATGAAACGTGGATAGTTACCCTCAGATGTGGCATCCAGTAATAGTTTTTCAGCACGAGGAGCTTGTGGTGTGTCAGCCCTAAACAAGTAGCGAGTGATGGGAGGCTGCAGGCTCTCCTGGCCACTTGTCACCTCTGCCAGTTCACAGAATAAAGTCACTCTTTCCTGCAGGAGCTCCAGCATCTCCTGGTCCTTGTGCTGCAGGTCAGCTGATTGGATGACAATCAATCAGTCATCAGTCTAAAACAGACGTGCAGAAAAACAAAGCCTGCCTCTTCACAGGTCTCCCTGGTTCATGTCGATCTGACAGAAAGGTCGGGCAGACCCCAGCCTTCACTGGATAAAATGAAAATGCTGATGCAGGACGCTTTAGTTTGAAATACAGTTCATGTAAATAACTATTCAGTTCAATTTTCAGTTTAATTTTATTTGTATGAAACAAGCTCAGACATGGTCTAAACAGGAGGAGACCAGTGCAGCTATGACTGTGGAGCAGAAACGGTTTTTCCTGCTGATTCTTTGGTCGACTTGTTATTTGTTCATATCTTCATTTAACTTCCTAGTTTTAGTTTGTCCTGTTCTCAGTTCTTGGTTGTTGAGAGTTTAGTTCCACTCTTGTGCCAATTTCCCGATAAGTTCATGTCTGTTTCCTCGTTTAGTCACGTGCTTCACTTCCTCTGCTTCTGGTTAGATGTCACTGCTCCAAAATTGTTTGCAATCAATACATCAGAAAAAAAGCAGCTTGATGAGAGAAATTCTGTGAGGCATTTGATGGTTTTACCGTTACCAAAGCTGCTTTGCTCTTTATGATTTTACTGTTTACTGTTGTTCCAAACTTGTGAAATGCTGCCTTCTTGTGCAAAAGCATTTACTGTGGGCAAAAACACAATCCAAGATAATACTGGCATGTCAGAAGATCTAAACGATTCCTGACACTAGCACAGATGTTCTGCCTGTGGATACTACAGCAGTTTACATTTTTAGATCAGGTTTGGTATGTTTGATACTCTGACAGGGCCTTTGGAATTGGTTTGGAGATCACAGTGATGTTCGGTCCAGTGGAACCTCTGTATTTGGTAAAAGTATGGAAACCTTTAAATAACTATTTAGGACCAAAAGGGTGAAAGAAAACCTGAGTATTCATCTTTTTGGTTAAAGTTTGTGGTAGAGAACACGTAGCCACCAGTAAGACTAAGCTACCATGTCGTCTTTTTCTGGTTCCCAGGTATTTGAAATGTAATTCAGTTAGTCTGTATATTCTCCTGACCTTTGAGCCTCCTCAGGTGAGCCTTGTGTTCCGACTCTATCAGGGGAAACTCCTCTCTTGATGGACACCTGAACACACAAAATCCAGACCACACATGCCGTCTTATCAGTCACATAACAGACACGAACGTTTTAGATTTGTCGGTTTTTTGTTCATAAACTAATTAGTAGACATTTATACCTCAATGATTAAACAGTTTATCACAACTTGGGTCTCATTTTTGTAACTCGACTTTATTACCCTGCCCTCACCTATGGTTACAAGCTCTGGGTAGTGACCAAAAAACGGGTACAGACAGAAATGAGCTTCACCTGAAGAGTGTCTGGCCTCTGGGGTGAGGAGCTCAGCCATCTGGGAGTTATTATTAGTATTATTATTATTATTATATAGGAACCAGTGTGCCGACCTCATAACGTATAGGAGGAAAGTACAGGCTCTATGAAAAACATGCTACATTTATTCTGCTCTGCAAATGCAAATAAATGTTTGTGTTTTCTGTGAGATTTACAGTCCATAATTGTCTCTGGGTAATTACATTTTTCTTTATATTTTCCAAAATGCAGAAATAAGACCCAAGATGTAATAAACCTCAGTTTGTAGACTACAAACCGATGGAAAGCTTTAGCATGTGTTGTGTGTGCATTTACCCACTTGCTGACAGCGTGCTGTACATGGCGTATCCAGATGTTCTTGTCATCCTTGGAGGCAGCATAAAACTCATACATCTCAGGAGGGGTGGAATCACTAATCAGATACATGCCTCGTTCCTGATTGGCTATGTCCCTTACTATTAGGTTCTGAAGGGACAGTACTGGAGGCTTGTCCTAAAACGTACAACATGGATAGTTTTAGTGAAATAAAGAGAAAAACTTGTTGTAACTATGTGTTTTTTTCACCCTCGTTTATCTTTTTATTTTCCATTTTAAATAAACGACTTAGTTCAGTTACATGAAGGCTTACACACACACACACACACACAC